CATATATATATATATATATATATATATATATATATATATATATATATATATATATATGTTTATACATATATATATATATATATATATATATATATATATATATATATATATATATATATATATGTATATGTATATATATATATATATATATATATATATATATATATATATATACATATGTATATATTTATATGTATGTGTGTGTATGCATACACACACACACACACACACATATATATATGTATATATATGTACATACATATATATATAGGTGTGTGTGTGTGTGTGTGTGTGCGCACACACACACACACACACACACACACACACACACACACACACACACACACACACACACACACACACACACACATATATATATATAATATATATATATATATATATATACATACATGTATATATAATGTATAAAGATATAAATATACATACACACACGCACACACACACACACACACACACACACACACACACACATATATATATATATATATATATATATATATATATATATATATATATATATATGTACATATATATGCGTGCGTGTTATGTGCACTTCATTTCAATAGATTCCGCTTTGTGGTCCGTATATCCCACGACGCCATATAACACATAAGATACCCCTAAGGGGCATCAGTAGAAGCGTCAAGGGTACCATTACTGAAGTATGCTGGACGCCAGCTGGCCTGGACCGGGCCCTGCTACAACCCCAGATGCTGTAACGAAGTCTCTCTTCTCTCCTGCAGGCGGATTTACCATCTTCGCGCCCTCCGACTCCGCCTTCTCCCTTCTGCCTCGCTCGGTGGTTTCGCAGCTTCAGAACAACACGGATAAGCTGCGGGAGGTGGTGCTGTTCCACGTGGTGCCAGGTGTGCTGCGGCTCGAGGACCTCACGGACAACGGCATGCTGTCGTCAGCTTCGCCAAAGGGCCGGAAGCTGCGAGTCAACGTTTTCAAACACGGGTCCGATTTGCAGGTAGGCCTATGACGGGTTTAGGGAATGAATTCGGTGTTTCGAAATGAGAACTTTTTTTATATCAGGTAATTATACATTCATTATTGTATCTAATTATGCCGAATATTTACCATGTAGCGGTTTCTTAACGTCGCTGACACACTATAATATCCCCCCAGGATGTTGTGACCATCAACGGAGCCCGTGTTAAGCGTCACGACATGATCGCAACCAACGGCGTCATCCACGTGATCGATAAGGTCTTGTACCCCATGGCGGACCTTAGCATTATGGACCATCTGACCACATGCGAGACCTTTACTGGTTAGTGATGTGTTTTCTCTCTATCTTCTTTTGACGGCAGAAGTACTGAGTTCATTTTGGTCTGATAGCTAAAAAGATAAATAAATAATGATAATAATAAAAATTTAAAAAAATGCTTCAAAGTTCTAAACCTCTAAGACTGAGCGATGTTTTTTTTTTCTCAAATCAATTCTATAAAAATCATTTGCAGATTATATAACCAAGTTTCAATAGCGAAAATGATCATAAGAGTAAAATTATCCTAAATCATTAAAAGCCATGATCTATACTGTAGATCATCTAAGACTATTGACAGCAAATAACAGACAGACAGACAGATATCATCACAAGGACATGACAGGTCAGCGGGATGAATCGGGCGCATGAGGTAAGTGTCTACTGTTTCGGAATGACTTTGGACTAAATAGATCACCGGCAGATTCATTAATAAAAAGCGTTTCCAGAATAGCGGTCATCACGAAACTTTGATGCAATAATGTGTCTTCGAATTAAATTTTTGACGTGATAATTTTTTAAGCTCTCCCTGTTTGAATTTAGAAAATAAAGACCAACATCTAACAAGATTTATCAACTGCACTTCAGCTTAACTTTATAATAGATATAAAACAGTAATCAGGGTATTCCTATCGAGTTTTCAAAGAACTTATGGTCGGATTTCCTTAATCCCAGTTATATGCAAATGTTCACAACTCTGGAACTCTTTATTCTCCTACATCAAAAGACACATGACCAAGAGGTTTTACTGAGCTTCTTCTCCGATAAATAGAATGCAGGAAAACTACGCAATGACGTCTAAACAAGCATGGAAAGTAACTGGACACTCAACGCCAAGAAGACACATTTTATACGCAATTCGTCATTCACGCTAAAGCTCATAATGACAACCCACAGCATGACGTAGTTCCTGGAGCCTGTACATAGAGACATTCAGTAAGCAAGCGTTTTCACTTCGGGAGGACGAAGAGAGATCAAGCAGAAAGTAAAGTGCAGCATTGGTTTGATTCATCGAGCGGAAAACTCCAAGCAGAATATCAAAGCCATGCACACGCATTTGCATATGTGTGTGTGTGTGTGTGTGTGTGTGTGTGTGTGTGTGTGTGTGTGTGTGTGTGTGTGTGTGTGTGTGTGTGTGTGTGTGTGTGTGTGGGTGGGTGTTAAACGGAAATACTCACCGACCTCGTTTTTCCTCCAGGAGCAAACGTGGCCGTGACAGGTGCTGGTCTTACGCCAGTCCTTGAGCAAGACGGCCCCTACACGGTGTTCTTGCCTACGACCGAGGCCTTCGCTGCTATAGACAATGCCACGGTATCGAGTTTCATTGAAAACATCACTCTCTTGCAAAGTGAGTCGAGCTGTTAACATTTCGAATTATTAGGTCTATTCTATATTTAACGTTTTTCTTTCTTTCTCTTTTCTTTTGCTGAGTAGCGTAGAGTATGCTGGACGTTTTTGATTTATTCCAAAGAATATCTTTAAAGTAAAACCTTATCTAACGTTTTCTTCGCTTAAAAATTGTACTGAATGTATTGCAGAGCCCGACATGCTCTTAGTCGCTTATGAATAATAAAATCGAATTTCACTACTTTTGCTGAGTAGCGTTGAGTATGCTGGACGTTCTTACTTTATTCCAAATACTATCTAACGTTGCTTTTTTCACTTAAAAATTGCACTGAATGTACTGCAGAGCGCATAACATGCTTTTGGTCGCTTATGAATTAAAAAAAAAACTCACGTATGGTGTCCTCTAATTTACAACATGCGACTCATTAAATGGCCACTAAAGTCTATAGCTTCATTGTCCTTATTCCCTTTACAGATGTTCTGATGTACCATATCGTTCCTGGAGCTTACTTCAGCGAGGGACTGAGAGATGGGACGTGGCTACCGACTCTTGCTCAGGAACAAGAGTTGCAAATGAGAGTCACTTCCGACGGATACACGCGTATGTTAAAATATCTCAAGTGCATTCGAATATTAATGAATTTAATGTCTAATTTCAGACGAAAACTTATTCATATTAAAGGCAAAATGGATATTTGATGGTGCGAATTATTACCCAAAGGGTCAGAGAACCTAAATTATATTACATTTCTCCTTTCAATTATTCTCTTCCCTACAGGTCGTCTTGCTGGTGTTGGAGGAAAAGCCAATGTGATAAAGCATGACATCATCGCCACAAACGGAGTCATCCATGTTATTGACACAGTGTTACGGCCCGAAAAGGAAACGCCAGTATGCGGGCACTTCTGATAAAAATTAATCGCGTTAATGGACTCTTCAAATATTTGCTCTTTAACCTGGTCTACATGTTTATAATGGCGTAATGTCATTGTTCGCAATACTCAGAGAGACTCATATCATGGAAATTACCAAGTCTTGGGGATCGTCTTAAGGATATGGTGACTTATTAAGTGTAATCTGGATATTTTGTTCTAAATACGGGGGTTAGTAAGCAAAATACGAGAAAAGAAAAGAGTGTAGACGTCAGAACAAGCTTGCCATGTATCTTCTTATTTTCGGGTAAAACCACATCTCTCCTTGATGGAGTAGATTGAATAGTGTCTCTGTAGCTGATCATTTTCAGTCTAACGTACTGTGATGAGAAACAGCATGTGTAACTTGTACATATATTAATGTATAAAGATTTTTTGTCATAGATTGATATATGTAGTGTACTATGTAGTATTTTTAAACCAGTGAATATCAGAGTATTATATATATATGATAAACTGTCGGTTCACACAGGATGCTTGCTCGGTCTCCGTTCTAGAAGCTTCTAAATGTGGGAAATCTTTGTTTAAGTACAAAACTGTGAATACAGGCCTTTCCGCACATGAGATTTCCTTTTATGTGCTGTCCTGTGACTATCATTTTCTCTGTGTTTGACTCCTGTGTTTGTTCCTCAGTTTATTGTCATTTCAGTGAAGAAAAATTACTGTAAACGAATGCGATCAGAAGCAAAATGTAATCAAAGTCTATATTTTAGTTGATATTTTTTGTTACCTATTATTTCTCTTCTCTTTCATTGTCGTTTCGTGCTCATCCTTTGTTAACTTTAATTATGTTATGTAGAGCTATGTTTCTATCTTTGTTTTTATTTCCATTGGGGATTGTTTTACTTTCCACTGTTTGGGAAGCTGAGTCTTTTTCCATTTTTATTGCCAACCTCAAAATTTCTAGCAGAAAAAAATATTACTAAATTGATGATCAAGGAAATTTTTTATCTGATTTCGTTTATTAGGTTGTGATTTTTAAAGGATTTAACCATTTCTGTCTGTCTTTTAGATGGTTGGTGGATGTATTCATAAAGTCAAAATAACAAGTGGAATTGTTAGTATAGAATTTAATCTATTATGCTCTGCCATTTGTCATATTTCTTGTTTGTATAGATGTATTATTCTGATTTGAATAAATATTTTATGATATTTTTAGTTTTTCATAACCGAACTGTTGATAATTGATACCAAATGATTATTTTCAAACTAATTTTAAGCTATTATTTTCAAACTATTTTTAGATTCCTACCAACTTCACTTACGTATCCAGAAAAATACATTAATCTCTAACAGTGTGGCTCCCTACCTTTTTGTGTAACCTACTTCAGTTCACCCTCCCAATTTAACCTTTCACCTAAGTTATCTGTTCTAAATTGCAGCTTCCACTAGTGCAGCCACTTCACCCTTTTAGCCAGTTCCCTGTCTGATTTAACGTTCAGCTAGTTCACCAGGCCCAGGTGAACGTACCTGTTATTCTCTATAACCATTTCAGTGGTAACCAAATACCTCCCTCAACCAGTTCACTCAGCCAATTTTATTCCTTTGGCTAGTTCATCCGTCCTGATTTATCTGTTAAGACAGTTCACCCATCCTCCTTCACCTTTCAGTCAGTTCCCTCGTCCCAATTACTTCCCCACTTAGACTGGTCATCCCATTTTCACACTCCTCATGAAAGGGGGGCGGGGGAGGATACCTGAAGCTGGAAATATAATCACATAAAAGTCTATCATTACAGTAGTTTAGCCAACTGACAGGCAGTCACGTCACTTGAAATGATTACTAATAACAATATCACTTCAATGGCATTGACGAGACAGGTATCGTTATTGTTTTTCCTTGCCATAACAATGTCCTTACAATTTGACAAATTGTAAGGACATTGTAAGGACATTATCTGTTATACCAGTATAAATCCTCTTTTCATTGAATTCCATCTATAATAAATTATTTGTTATAGATGGAATTCAATGAAAAGAGGATTTATACTGGTATGACAGATAATGTATATCTGACATTCCGTGTGATATCACTGTCGACCTTCATTCACCTCACCGACAAATGGCTATTATTTTTAGCATTCATCCTTTAATGTTATTCATTTGGATTAGACCCCATTTAAGGGGTCTGGAAGTCCTCATTAAAAGGGTTGCTGATAAGATGTACTTCTTGAGTGATCCGAGAAATTACTAGTAATTTAATGACTAGGTGGCATGTATTATTTGGTTTTTGCAAGTTAGATGTTTTCGTTTGAATATATTTCAGTAAATGTAAATAACTTTTTTGTTTACAGATCTTTATAGGATTTGGTTCCTGTTTGTGTTAATCACTTATTGCGTCATTGATATACACATTAGAGCTTGAAAAGCTTGCATTCCATCTGTTTGATTATTACAGTCATAGTCTTTCCTACTTGCATTTCACATGACTGACTAGAGTCATGGGTCATCTAATATCACAAAATAGCCTGGAGGAGGCTACAAACATTTTACTGCATTGTATATATAGGTAAGGCAAAACAAGAAAACAGTGAAATGACATCTACTTAAAATATGTAATATGCTTTGTAATAATTGCATGGAATTGTTTACTCCTTTAGCTATGAAACAATGCAATATCCTGATATCAGCAGCTACCGTCAATGAATAAACCAAGGACCATATATATGATACCTTAACTTTGATACTTCTTTTTTTCAGATAAAGATTCTTAAAACATGGACAGTGCTATATATGTTTCTACACTACAGTATTTGTAATCTACAAGGATCATTCTGAGTGCAATATCTATATATCACCTAGTAAAAAGATAGTCAGGGGTAAAACAAAATTACAACTACAAAGATTATTTTATTTTTCAAGTGGAAAAAATACAAACCTAAGCCACTGTTATGTACAAAGAAGATACATGTATGGTGAAAGAATATTGAGAAATACCTATACTTCATCTCCCTTTGTTCTTTATGCCATGGACAAAAATATTAATTCTAAAACCTAACTTCACTGGTTTTTAATATTTCCAAATAGACTAATGCATTTCCTTTTCAAAATCTTATACAGAAACATAAGGGAAATCTAAACAATTCACTTTTAATATGCTGTAAAACCAGCTCAGTACACATGGCACATCATAACTTAAAAGGATCTATTTGTCTACAATAAGAAAAAGATCAAACATATCACATTCCTTATAAATAGATCCAACATTATTGTTAAACACAAAAAGATATCCCAAAGCAGCACATAATCTGTTGCAACACTTCCAATTACAGCAGATAACGATGCTAAATCACATACAAATACATTTATGCATTTACGCAACCCAACAAGCAAATCAAGCCAAGTCGTACGTGGGTCCATATAATGCTTCATTTTTAGGAACACAGGATTCAATTCAGAAAATAAGTTACACAAATTTCAACCCTTTCACAGTTTCAAGTAGACTCCTGCCTCTGCACTTCTACTACATCCTTTGGTGTGGGTTTCGCTGACAGTTATCCAAGACGAGATCACTTCATAGTTCATCCTTCTTTAAAATCCAAGTAAGACTGTAACTTACTCTGGCACTCAGCAGATACCTGCAACTCTCTGAGAAGAATCAATAAAGAATATTAATGTTTGTTAATTTTGAAATGACTCTTCTAAGGAAGAAAGTCCTGAAACTCTCTTGTTGTCCTAAGTACCTGAAATATTGATCAAAAAATCTTTTGGGATTACTTTATCTTCATAAACTCGATTTAGGCTAGGCAAAAATTTAAAAATAATATAGGAAAAATATAACTGCAGAGCACAAACGTTGTCACTTTTATCATGTGCTTTACAGTGAACATTGTGAACATACAAAGAAAACCTTTTTCTTTTTGAAGATATTGCATAACGTAACACGACATTAAAGGACTCAAAACCTTTCAGCTTAAAGAGAACTTACAGCACTGTAGAGCCAAAAGTGGTTGTCACTGTGTACAAGGCAGACCTTAAGGTGGACCTCAGAGCCTTTCTCAGCTGCAACTCAACTGGCAAAGTCTCTCCAGCACCTGCTCTTCGTCCCATGGTTCCTCTGCTTGGACTATCTACCACCTGTTTATGTAAGTAAGCTTTATTGGAGAAGAGAATTACAGGATGATGGAAAATTTGTTTTCATTTTAAGAATTTATTGGTTTAGTAAACTTAAAGACTTACCTTTTGTAAGTGAATGAAAGCCATCAAAATGTCTGGAATGTTGCGCTGCACCACACCATACTTGTCCTCTTTGAATGATGCTGCAATCAAGTCTCCAAATGCTGTGGGGGGATAAAACTCATGTCAGGTCTATAAAAATTGAACATGAGGCAATCAATTCCTAATAAGGGCAACTTCATATTTAATTATATACAAGCAACTCTTGCCACCCCAGACTTTAGCAAGTGTTCGAAGGGTGACAAGAAAGTGCTCTGAAAGTGATATCTAAGCCCTGAATGTCAATGAGCACTAATGGACAGCGGCAGCATCTTGTGGCACCAAGTGACATATAAAGCCCCTGCCCAAGTAGAAGCAAATGGCTGTCTGAAGCAGCAACCACTGGACACAGTTGCTACATATAAAAGCCCTAATTCAAGACACTGCCTTACTAAAAACTGCAGCCAACAATTGCTTCACCCTGTTGCTGCAAGTGGAAGCAATTTATGGGTAATATATAATATATTTCAAGAGTACCATCTGAATTCTACTTGTATCCATAATTCTAAAATGACATCTTACCCTGTACAGCCCAAATAACTGGTAATGCCTCTGCAAAAATACTGCGATAGGCAGCATCTGGAAGCTCGCTTAAAAAGTACCCAAAGAATGGATATTTCTTCAGGCCCTTTAGCATCTGCAAAGACAATTAATCTTATTAAATCACTTACTTACTTATCATTCATGGAAGTGATGAGAAAACAGGAAAAGCAAAGTCTATTTCATATAGATATAATAAAGATAAATGTGAAGAATGATGATAAGAATAATTATTTATTAGTATTACTACTACTAGTAATAAAACTGAATGCTGATAGAGACATACCTCTATGATTCTTTCCTTCAGAGGCGGAGAAGAAGGTTTGGCAACCTCATTTTTGTTGACATCTGTTGGGGCAGAAGTGGGATCCACTGGCTTAGGGGGCGGGGGCATATCCTCAGGGCAGTTCTGTCTTCTTAAACGCTCAGTAAACTTACGGATGAGGTTCAGGGATGGGTTCATGATGCCCAGCCAGTTACGTGGATGTCCACCTTCAGAAAAGGATGAATTAATTCATTAATTTAAAAACTTCCCATTAGGACACTGAATCATATCAGAAGAAACCAGTCAAACATTCCAAAGTAAGTGATTATCATAGAACTCAAAAATACAATCAATATAGCTTTTCTTGAAAAGTAACCATCAAGAAGAATAAGAATAAAAATAAGAATAAGAATAAGAAAAATGCCAATTTCCATATGGGAGCTATTTCAACAACAAGTCAGAGAGAAAACAAAATGATAGAAAGAAAGAAAGAAAAAGAAAAGAAGAAGAAAAAAGAAAAAAAAAAAAAGAAAAGATAGAAAGAAAGAAAAGGCCAACTGACAAAGATAGAAAGTCAAACTTTAACTCTTAATTTTTCTGATTCGGTTCCTTGGCAATTACAAAATTCAACAGGTCTTCACAAACTTACAGAATCAAAAACAGTAATTATCCACAAGTAAGGAAGGACGGAAGAAAGAAAAAAAATAAAAAAATAAAAAAAATAAACAAAACAAATTTACCTGGCTGACTGATAGCAAAGACTTGCGAACGCCTCACGAAAACCCTAGGATCTGAGGACGCTAGCAACTTCAGGTCCCAAAAGGCCAAGAGCTGGAGGAGTCCAGAGGAGCTCAGCGCATGGCACAACCTCCAAGAATCTCCGTCTGATTCTGTGTTGTTGAGATCTTCTCCTGTAGCCAGTGGAATCTGGATTGGCTGCAAGTATGCAAGAGGCTTGGTGAAAAACTGAAGGTGGTGAGATAGAAATACATTTAAACTTCAGAGGTTTGGTTATGTAGTTCAAGATTCTGAATATTTTGATAATATCAAACATATATGCTACAATTTTAAATCAATCCTGAGAATTTCTTGTTGAGCTGATACTGCAAACAAATATTCTTATGTAGTTATTCATTACATCCCTATAAAATATAAAGACTAAAGTGTAAAAATTAATAGAAGAGGCAAAGTCCCATAAAAAAACGCTCCCTCTCATACCTCCGTGACAAAAATCCGAAAAATTTGCGAAAACAGAGCAAGAGTCACTGCCACCAATCCTGTCACAGTTGCCGTTAATATCATCAGTGGCAGGTCGACAATCACCAGCCACTCCTTCCAGTCGCTGCCCTCGCTGAAGAAACTGGTTACAATGCCTGAAGGGTGGAAGATATATAATATTTCAAAATCACATTATATACTAAATTTTCATTTGTTTAGAAATTTAATTTCCTCTGTAATATACATTTACAATATGGACAATCTGGGAAATCATACACTGAAGAGTGCTCCAAACAAGAAAAATGTGAGGATATCAGTTACCTGTGGAGAGTGCAATTAGCCTTTTGTTACTATGGTGTACAATATCTATCTATATCTCTCTCTCTCTCTCTTAACCAATGATTTACTCATATAACTTGAGCCTATCAAACTCAAGGCCAGTGTAACATCTGAATCCTTGCTATTTTCTAAACTATACTGATTATTATATATGATGTAGAGAGACACTAAACTTGTGTTCTGACTCACCAGCAGCCATGTAAAAGCAAATTGCAAGCAAAAATGAGAACTTGCTGGCTCCATACATGGTACATGCTTCCTTAACACTTCGCATGTTCATCTTGGCTTTAATTAGCTGTAGCTTCCTAGGGTGTGCTGGGGCTATGGTCAGTAAATTACCATTTTGCATGAAGTACTTGTAGCCATAGCAAAGACCAACATAAGTACTCATAAAAGTGATTACAGACATGTGTTTGGTACACATGTTAGTCCTGTAAATGAAACAAAATTATCAGTACATAAATCAACGCATCATCAATGTCTAACTAATCATATATCAAATCCTATTTCTGATCATTCTACACTTCAAGTGCATACATATCCTTATGTGAAGTTCGGTTATTCAAACAAGGCCACTGATTATAAAGAAAATGACCACATGTGACTCTTCTGATAGTAAATGCAGCAGAAATCTGAAGATAAACACACAACCTACCCTGGCCTACACAACATGAGGATCATGAAGTCAGGATGGGCCAAAGAAGTGTAAAAGTTGGCGAGTAGTGCGCAGGCAATCATGACCAGTGCTAATCTGAACAGCACTGTTGGTGAGAGTAGTCTTTTACATCTCTCCAAGCGGTTCTGTGGCACCCAGGAGCTTACTGTAAATAAAGGCCAAAATTGAGTCTTTGCTATTAAATCATCTGGTATTAACTCTCAAAAAATCAAAGTATTAACATTCAAGATCTTTTGCTACATATACAAGCTAAATTGCAGGATTATCATAAAGTTCATTCTAGCTTTATTTTCCATGTTCTTAAATCTGCTTTTCTCATGAAACTCTAACCTTCACCAACAAATAACTTTAACTATTTCCCATGTTTTAATTTCCATGCACCATTGCCAATGGGCAAATCATCTAGCTGTACTACATGCTCAATTAAAAATCCATACCTGTATAACACTTGATGTGAACTCTGGCCAGCAACACAAAACTCAGAGCCAGGATAGCCCAATGGATAAGTTTTGAGGGTGAAAAACATGACAAAAGGTTGTAGGAAACGATGAGTGGGTTGAACACTCTCTGTGCTACAACTGTGTGGTAAATGCTGCAAAGTGATACAGGGAAGAACTGCAGGAGCAACAGACATGCCAATGTCCGCACATAGCGCCACAGCAAAATCTGGAAAAAATAAAATATTAATACTGTTAGAGAGGTCACAAAAGAAATAAATATATATGTAAAGCTTAAATAAACATTTTTTTTTTCCTTTTTTTTTTTTTTTTAATAGAATACATTATAAGTTATACTTTTGTGCCAAGTCTCTATCTTGCAAATTTCTAAAAATGAGCCTTCCATATATAAAGGTATCAGTTATTGATTGTGAGTACGTTTGTTTACTGTCCTTAAATTTTTAATGATATTCTATATTTACATTTCTTAAAATTTACATTTACTTTATTCTGAATCTGTTCAAGTGTTATCATATTTGTCAGTCAAGAAACAACATAAACCTACACAAATACACATCATTCCCTTCCCTTCGTATCACTTACTTTGTTGTATCGTAATGATTAACATGTGGCAGTGGCACATATGAAGGGGAAATATCAAAAATTTACCAATGCCGTTTTTACTCATTTGTAGTGCGTGCATGTGTACCCCCTCCTACATACACATCTGTACAGTCCATCATTGCCATATGAATCAAAAACATCCCTAACTCAGGGTCCCCACTCCTGGACCTCCACCTGACTGCTGTATTTCCCCAGCTGACAGAATGGCAACAAATGTAGAGGATGCCACATAGAGATATGAAATATATTAACCATGTAATATTAATATTATAGTTATCATATAATTGACATTCATTGCAATATATATCGTATTTATTACACTGGATTATCATTATAGGGTCTATTAAATTGTAACTATTAGTACTAGTTAACCCATTGCCTCTGAGGGAATTTGGGGGCAATTTGCCTCTGGGAGTATGTGCATCTGGCTGGCCTTGTCAGACTAGGCTGGTGTGCCACACTTGCTTCACTTCACCAAGAGTGATATGATTTCCTTATGTATTACTTGTATCCAAAACATAATTTTAATATCTAGGCATATTCATTGATAATATTAATTCTAGTAGTTAGATTGAACCTGTAGGTCCAATTCAAAATACATGGGTGTGTACACTCTGTATAAAAAATGTAATGTGGTTATATTCTTTTATTTCACAAATCTGATTATTTTGAAATAAAGAGATTGTATACTGCAGCTTCAATACTTCCCTTTTGTGACAAACTTCAAGAAAGTCACACTGGAGTATTATGATGATAATACTATGTGTAAAAGAAGGAATGTGGTAAAACTGGGGAAGAAAAATAGGATTTTCTATGTTTCATAACTTTGTGTGTGTGTAAGAGAGAGAGAGAGAGAGAGAGAGAGAGAGAGAGAGAGAGAGAGAGAGAGTGAGTGAGTGAGTGTGATATACATATACACAATGTTTTTCAGGCTCTCTAATCCTTCTGTATCAAATGACATTATATTTCATTGGAGACAGAAGTACAGAGAAGATTAAGTTTCTTAGACTGATTGGTAAATTTTTGGTTTCACACAGCAATCCAACCTTACAATTATTTTTAATTCTTTCCATTATCCACACAAGAATATGTGTGAATCTCTTGTTTTCCACTGCAAACAATATAAATAAAAGTATTATTATTGTTTATGATGTGATTGTACCCCTCTAAGTGCCTATAACTACACCCACTCCTGGAAAATCCACAAACATTGCCATATGAACCCAAATTTCCTATTGCAAGGCTTTGTGCCTAGACCATCATGGAATTATTCTGTGTGGCATTTGTCGCAAACTATTTTCTTCATTTCTGACATCATTTTTAGCCTTAACAGATTATTTCAATCAAGTGTAATTTTTTCCCTGATTATGAAAGTGTCATTGCATTTTCCTGTATATGTATACCATAGTGTTGCAAAACCTTTATATTATTGTCACAGAAATGCATTTATAACTAGGTGTATGTGTGTGTTGGTGGTGATGAAAAATTGCGCCAAAAAGACTAGCTGGCTACAGGGTGGCACGAGATTCTGGCGCAGTGATTGGCTGCCTGAGTGCGACTGACTGGCAGGATGTGCGAAAAGGTATCAGGGAGTGTGAGCGCGTTCTGAAGCTGCAGCTGTGACTTGCACTTGATTGTTTTCCCCAAGGAAGAGTGGCTTGTGATTGTGTTGGGTTACAGGAGACGTGTGATACTATGCTGAAGCTGAGTGTACGTGGAAGCCTCTCCCTGACATGACCCCTTTTTCTCAATAAATCCTGTGGACTGCAATAAACAGTGGATAGCTACCTGCCTGTCATTTCACATCCCCAAATAAGTGGAAATAAGTGGAGTATCCTGACACTTGTGTGAGGCACTTAGTTCTGGGAACCTGTCTGTGTGTGTGACCCACCCAATACTGAGCATCAGAAGAAGGGGTGTTACATGACATTATCAGCTTGCAGAGGAAATAACATAGATATAGAGTGCCATATCTTGCTGTTTTATCCATTTCAAGCTTCCTTGTACCATATGGCTGTGTAAAATGGAAACTATACCACCGACTCCTTTGTTCTGTCATTTCCTTACATCACTTGCCTTACAAGTGGCGGATAGATGGAACTCAGCCAACACCAAGAATTCTACGACCTTTCGTAAATATTATTCCAGAAGTCCCTCGGTTCCAAATTAATTATTACAATCATCATTATTAGCCTCCGGGCTAGAACAGTGGTAACGTGTCAGCCTTTCATCCGAGGGGTCGGCGGTTCGCGCCCCGCCCAGGCGCGAGAAGTTGTAATTGTCGCCTGGAGGTTACTGCTGTGGCTGGGCACCACGGCGGGTAAGGACTAAGCTCACCCAAGTCAGCACCTGCTGACACACTGTTAGCGAGTCGACATTAGTCGGCACAGGCCGGGCTCCCCCATAGCCCAGGCAAGGCTCAGCTTCGCATATCGGACTTATCCTTACATCATTATTATCATTTTTTTACCGACCCCCATAGGCCCCACAAATCTAATCGGCTTGTATGGGTTTTTGAGAAATATATTTTCGATTCTGCTGACGGGTATTTTTACCCTAACTGTCGAGAAATCTTTGAAAAAAAAAACAAAAACGTATTTATCATAAAATTTACCAGAGATTTCTATGCGTTTCCGGTATAAATGCATCGATAAGAAACTGTAGTCGATTATAAACAAAATCAAAATATAGGTCTTTTTTTAAAGCAGAGAAAAACCTCCACAAAATTTTCAAATCGTGAAATACTAAAACTAAACATCCCCCCTACTTACCTCTGTGGTAAAGAGAGCCTCGAGCTTCATCCCGGCGACTTAAAAAACTTGCAAAAATCCACGAAATAGAGGCCAATTCACCAGAAAATTCAAAAAGAAAATCACGAATTTAAACTCCTCGTCAGCCTCGCACGCCGGCCATCGCGACGTCGCACGAGGAAGGGAAGTTGTTGTACGGAGTTGTACGATATCTTTTTTAATTTTAAGACCTTTTGTACTATTCTTTGGTCTGATTTTTCTGTCTTGATGAATGTAATGGGATGGTAGGAGTGATGGTAAGAGATTAGTTTGGTGATTGTGAGTTTTTATTTAGTATTAGAGACTTGTTAATTGCCTCTGTGTGATAATTATCGTGCGATGGTAATTCTGTTGATTGTGTTTTCAGCTTAGATTTGCATTTCATATATGTATATATGTGTATATGTATTTATTATTTTTTTTTTTGCTGTTGGAAGTGTTGTTAGAATATTTGTCATAGGGGATTAAGAAGTCTTGATATCACTTTTTTTTTCTACTGATATCTCCAAGAGTAAACAAGATTATATATAATTGCTATGCCAAGTGACTATATATATATATATATATATATATATATATATATATATATATATATATATATATACATATATATATATATATATATATATATATATATATATATATATATATATATATATATATATATATATATATCACGATAGAGGATTATTCCAATCTCGAAAAAAGTGTCGAACATCATGTAGAGATTATTCTCACAAACAGTTTACATAGTCAAGAAATACATAATTGATAACTTGCAAACATTTTTTTTTATTCAAATATATTTAACTACTTATAGAAATAACAAAATACTGACCTCACCAAATGATGACAAATAAATACTCGTTATCTCCACCGTCCTGTAAACAAACGCACGTGGGAAGGGGGAAGGGGGGGAGGGTAACGGAGGAGAGGCAGGCAAGTTGTGGCCGAGTAATTAATATTGCTAATTAATAGTAAAAGTAAGGCGTACGAATAAATGAGATAATGAGAATTAATAGTAAAAGTAAGTCGTACGAATAAATGAGATAATGAGAATCAATAGTAAAAGTAAGTCGTACGAATAAATGAGATAATGAGAATCAATAGTAAAAGTAAGGCGTACGAATAAATGAGATAAGGAGAAAATTACAAGTAACATCCCTCTCAAAGGAAGGACATATACATAATATATTGCATTCAGAAACGTAATATGAAACGACTATGCTTTGAAATTTAACTTGAAAAATTGATGTTAAAAGTTATAAATAAAAGAAAATTGAAGTAAAATAGAGCTGTTTTTGATGCGGAATATAAAAAGAGAGTTCATTGCCTGGAATATAGTTGTTGGATAGAAAATAATCTTCGGCTTTGGAAGTGATAAAATATTTTGAAAAACGATGGAGTCTTTCTTGAAGGACATTTCTTGGAAATATCTTCGCATGTATCCACTGAAAGACATCGTATGGAAGGTAAGATGACAATTTTTCATATTTTGTCTTTCCTTAGTATATATTTTCTCTCACATGTCTTGCTTAACTGTTATTATCAACTTGCAAAGTTAATATTTTCGTTCATTCTGTTCATGACATGCAAAGTTTTCCCAGTAATAAATGGCTGTGGGAAACTAAACTATTCTTAAGTTTTTATTTGTTCTTATAATGTCATTGATGAAAATTGTCTCAGTTTTCATCAAGGTAACCATTACACTAAGCCTGAGTGTCATTGTATAATTGTCATGCACTAAAAATCTATGGGGGTTGTCTTATAATTTGCCCCAAATGTATGTGGGCTTCCAAACTTTCACATAGATTGTGGGTTGTGCATTCAGTATTAACTTCAACTCTTTCCCTTGAGTTTTATCCGTTGTTATAAACTATTTCAAATGATACCACAATAAAGTGTAACACTTCAGTTGCCGCATCATGAATCAAATTAATATTCTCTTTTAATAATTGTAAGAATTACTGTAACAGATACAACAATATTTCACTCTGATATAACATTTGAAGCTGAAGTCATTTTTTTCAGCTATCGTTTTATTTTCTAAGCTTTTACAATGAAACAGGAAAATCCAACATTTTACTTGAGGGTAGCACAACATATACAATATAAAAGCTCCCAAAATTTTGCTAAAAGTTAAGAGGCATGAATCAATTCAGACTAGAGGTTGGATGGTGATGAGGAAAATCAGAGAAGGGCTTTATATAACAAGGGGAATTTTATTAAACTAAAGAAGAATTTACCCAAAGATGTAACTGATAACTTGTTCTTATGACTGGGTTCCTATATTGGAATGCAACAAGTTTCAGACTCAGTATGTTACACATTAACTTAATGTTATTCTTGCCATATGTTTGATAAGTATTTTGTTTTTGCCAGTATGCAACAGGAAATGTGCCTTTAATATCTAATTGTTCCTTTTATTTATAATCAGGACAGTTCTTCTATTCACAGAACTCAGTCTAAGTGAATAATGTTAATCTAAAGGCTGAATAATGTATTTGAAGAAAAAGCTTCCTTTAGTATTAGCTAACTTGAATAATTAATTGATACAGATTGACAGAATAGATTATATTAAATATTAAGATTCCTCCAGATTACAGTTTATTCAGAATCCCTCTGTCAACTTAAAGGCAGTTAATCTAAATGCTGTTATTCTTTTTAAAGGATATGAATGACACTCTGATCAACCTTGAACATGATGAGTCTGTGAGCTTCCAAGAGAATTTCCTGAGCAACACTGTACAACATCCAATTGCAAAAAGATTTCCACCTACTACGAGTTATGCTCGGATGTTTCTCAAGAGTTTTATTGAGCAGGTAAGATAAGGTATATTTAGACATTTTCTGTGTGTTTACTTAGGAATATACATGAACATAAATTTTGTAGATTTCTATTGTAAGTGTACTAGTGTACAAATATGCATAATAATATTTTTTTAGTAGCCAATCTTGATGTGCCTTATTTACTCCTATGAATTTACTGATTGAGAATAAATCTGTAAATAGGTTTCTGTATCTTTTTAATGCAGCAATCAAGTAGGTGCATTTGCTCTAGTGGTACTTTTATATTCTGGACCAGTGTTGCACATACTTGGAACAAGGGATTTGAATATCTTAGAAATTAAGAATGCAATAAAGGATGTGACAGATCAGGCCAGTGTTCACTGTTTTGGTTGTATTTACATCTTGAAAGTCATTTACACACCAACTAACAATGGAATGCTCAGTTGTTTTATCATACATTAAGGTGAATGTATGAGATTATTAGATTTAAATATTATAATCATACTCTATTTATAGAAGTTGATATTGTCATGGGCGTGTAATATTTTGTGTGTTGTTATCAGTTATAAAAGCTATTGTCATTTTAGATCCTAGAATTGCTGAAGCATATCCTGTATTATCATTAAATATTTGACTATGTTACAGATTGAAGGAAGTAACCAAGAAGTATGTGAAGAAGTGTATTTAGTCTACACAGATCTCATTACCCAGTCTGTGTCACTATCAACAGATCTTTGTTATAGAACTTACAGACTGCAGCCCGACTGTGTTCTGACAATTAAAGAAACACGTAAACTGATTTCAGATGGAACGACTGGTTTGTATACTTGGGAGGTTAGTTATTGGACAGTTTTCTCTTCTTTTATGGAAAAAAAGTGATAGATACAAAATTGCTCATATAAAATGAGCTCATACGAATTTATGTTTGAAATTCATCTGTGAAATAATAGTCAATGATATACAGGGATATTTTTCAGGAGGGTCTGTTGTAATTAAACAATTTATTTTATTTAAACAGGCTGGCCACGTGTTAGCAGAATGGTGCTCAGAGAACAAACCTCTGTTTCGGAATAAAAGGATCCTGGAGCTGGGTTCGGGTTTAGGCCTGATGGGTTTAGCTGTTATAAAGATTTGTGAACCAGCCTCGTATATTTTCACTGATCTGCCCACAACTGTCCTGACAACCTTGGCAGAAAATGTGATAATTAACCTTGAAAGTGATACAAGCTATGAAATTCCTTCCATCTGTGATTGGGTAGGTACATAAAAGTAATATATTGGGTAAATGGCTAAATATGTGGTATTATATTGAAAATAATCCTAATACAACATTTCCTCAGTTTATGAAAATATTTTATAAATATTGATGAGGTGAAAGTGACAAAAGTTTTTTTTTTTCAACAGACAAATGGCATGGAGACTTCATACAATCACACAAAGGTGAATGTTAGAAGACTAGACTGGGAGCAAGACTCATGTGATATTACAACTGATATAATTCTGGCTGCAGGTATGGAATGATTTACTAGACACAGATTTTTATCATGAAAAAAAAATGTGTTGCTTAGCTGGAAATGTAAACTGATGGTGGGAAAGGGGAGTTTAACAAGGACCCTGATCTGCCCCCTCCCACTTCTGAAGAAGAAAGAGAAAAAAAAGAAAAGGAAAAAATCCACTAAGAAGCACTAAACTATTTAGAAATGGGAATTTGGAGGATTAATATCATTATTAACCTAAAGACATGGTCATCGTCTACCAAGCATCTTTCTCCTCTCATTATAATGCAGGATTTTTCAAGGAGAGAGCCTCTAATGTGTTAGTCATTGAGCTGTTTAGGTGATGTACCCATCACTGCCTTCTTCTTCTTACAGCAAGTTGTGTTGCCTTGTCCATAGTCAAACAAGCTAGCATTACATTAGCCTAGCTAGTTAAGTGACATTGTTACTATATCACTCTATATTTGATGTGGAAATAAGTGATAACAACCTAATAAAAGTGGATATATATGTGTTATTCTTTGGCTTATTTAATCTAATGTGCTTTCATGGGAATGGGGTGGTCATCTTCCTCTCCCCACTTCACAATGTCTCCTGTATCCCATGATAAAAACATACAGAAATACAGATACAGTTTTGATTTTTTTCTTGAGTAAAAATTGTGACCTACTGATTTCCCTTTCAGATGTAGTGTATGACCCTGCCATTGTAAACTGCCTTGTTGACACCTTAAAGACTGCAATGAATAACAACCCAGGTGCTGTAGCTGTTGTAGCGTGCACATTACGGAATTCTGACACGTTAGCATTCTTTAAGGATGCGTTAGGTACGTTTTT